TTCATTTCATGATTAATAAATGTCTAAATATTAAACAAGTCAGAGTCAAAGTCTAAGTCTAAGAAACTTAACCTCCAATGCTCGCTGAACAGGGGCTGCACCACGGTAGAGAGGCAGCAAGCTTGGGTGAATGTTTACGGTCCCTACAAGAATGCATTTGAATAAGAAAAAGCTTAAATCAAATTCCCCAATTTACAGATTTGATGCAATAAATGAACTGGAAAAATATTTTGTGCCAAACTATCGTGGGACAGCACTAAAACATTTCTCCTTGCTTCTGGACTATCACTGTAATAACTTACAAATAGTGAACATGTTTCTTCATTTTACTAGTTAAACTTCTGACCATTTCAGTCTATTTTCTCTGCTTCTATTATATGTAGTTGCAACTTTTTACCATTTCACAATCTCATGATTTATTACTCCACCATTTGTTGTTTTGCCCTAAATCTAGCTTGACATACTCTCTTCTCTACTTGTCTTCTTTTCCTTTATACTCTTTTCTTGTTATCATTCAACAATCAGACATTCATCTTATCAAAATTTTGATTTCAACCATGCTCACATACCCATCATCTGTTCGACTTATTCTCCAGGTTCTTATTTTTGTCAGATGTAAATACCAGAAAGGGGACTTTTCTGAAAGTTGTGATAGACAGTTAAATGATAAAATAAGTATTAATTTCTCTTACTTTTGACATCAACATTCCACCAAAGGTCAAAGTACACATCTTTTGCCACTTTCAAGGAATTATTGGTATACATCTCTCCATGGCGTTCACAATTTAGATGTTTAAACTTCTAAAAAACCTGAGATAACAACTAATACAAACGGGATTTCTGACAGAAAAATCACGATTACTAACCCAATGATGGAATCTTCAGAAACTTGCTTGGTAAAATATTCCCATATGCAGCAGTAACACAAAGTTCAGGCTCCAGAGACTTGAAATTCTCAAGAAATGATTCCTAAACAAAATAAAGTTGATGGTAAGTTCTCTTATCAAGGAGGGCATTCCTTCAGAAGTGTTAAGCTCAACAGCATCAATAGCAAAGGGAAATCGGGAAATCAACTGAAGGTCTTCATGGCAATGCAACATATTTGTTTGGATTGTAAGTTATTTGGGATTATTTGGGATATTTTTACTGTAGCACTTTTTGTGATGTGATGTATTTTAGATAAAAAGGTAATTGGAAAGATAAAAAGGTGTATTGGAAATTGTAATGATGATGTAAACAAATAAAACTGGGTAAATAATGCTCAATCCAAACAAACCCATAGATGTTGAATATGCCAAATATATTCATCAAAAAGTATGCATCTTTTTATGATCTACAGTTGTATAACATCACAGCTCCTCAATTGTTTTTCTAACCAGCCAGAATTGCTAATACCACTGTCCAAGCTACAAAATTTTCTAACTTTCTACATGAAAATCTCCCAGTAACAAGTAGGTGCTTCTTGTACAAGTCATGGATCGCATTAAAGTACAAAAGCATCAAGCATTCGCCAATTGGTTGGTAGGCTATCTACATGAAACAGTACAAGCCCTGGTGCACCTGGTAACAGGCCCTGTCCATGGAAACGAGTGACCACCCCTAATAAACCTTTTTAGCCACCAAAAAAAAAAGGATCTGACTGACAAAGTTCATTGTTAAATATTAACCTGAGGATGTCTGTTACTGCAAAAAGTTTTCTATTCCCTTTCATTCACTCATTCGTAAATGGGCATTCCCCTCTGGGCATGTTTTGAAAGAGCAGAATGCCATTCTAAATTTTTGTATGCTAGTGAATCTAGAATGGAGTACAAGCAGCAATCACCAAGAAATGGCGATCTATGTATAATAATTTAGTTGTCAGTATCGGGCAGCTTGATCCATCAGTGCTTTTAATCGGCTTCCCAGAGCAAAAAATCTCAAATGCGACAGTATACTATCTCCTAATACTTTGGCAGTGGCTTAAAAATTATGCTGCGAAGTGACCATTCACACCCTCAATACAGAATCGTCAGAAAAAAAAGGCTGCAACCTGGATGGTTATCATTTGCCCCCAATTTACCTATGTGCGCAAAAAAGTACAAATGTGATGCACTTGTTGCAAACTGCTATAAGATAATTAAATTTCTGCATAACTGTATTAAGATGTTACCTCACCAGCTTTTACAGGTGTGAATATCAAATCAGAGGGGAAGCCTTTGTCAAGAGCATGCTGTGCTACAGGAGAAGGCGTGATCTTTCTTCCTCTATCTCTCCCAGAGGGTGGCTGAGTAACAATTGCAGCAACCTAGAGCATTGCAAATACCAAAAAAGAAAAAAAAGTGAAAGAATCAATATTGATTAGCGAATTCCAATTGCCATGAATGCCTCAAAGCCTATCAGACCATCATTAAAAATATATACACAATGCTAACAAGAGCAAGGAAATATAGAAAAACTAGGATGAGAAGTACGAATCCTAAGGCCAGATACAGCAGTAAATTTCCCATTGATTATAATTATGAACGACCCAGCAAACCATATTTCCACTTGACAAACTGGGAAATTAAATATGAACTTCTACAAGCAGAAGCTAAAATAATCAGTAAGAGAACTTCAACAAAAGCAACATCAACAAAGAAGACGAAGCTTGCTATATCATCTGCTGCATTGTGCAAATTGTAATTTTTTAAAACTCTATCGCTTCAAATACTCTACTGTGAAACAACAACCAAACACTGTAAAAGAATGATTCATGATTAAGGGTCATGGAATATAGCTGATGCTACAAACCATTAACATTCATGACTGGTGAAAAAATGTCTACAAGTCGTACCTTTACTGTAAATGTTCAGCAGGTCACATAAATTTCAAGGAAAACAAGATTACAACAAAAAATTCTGTATGTTTTTTGAGCAGAATTTACTGTACAAAATGACTTAAGCACAAGCATTACACTACAGAATAATGAAAGATAAAGCAGTAATACCTCAAATAGGGAATCAGGAGCAGAAGATGCAGAGAATAAAGCATCAAGAACCGAAGCAGATACCTAGAGAACAAATAACTAATTTACAAAACGTAGGCATTGTAAGTTGTATTAACTATAAAAGCAGGCAGCGAAGAGAAGAGAGAAGGGTATTGAACCTGAGGGGATCCCAAGAAGACCAGACGCCTTTTCTTGTTAAGGGAAGAAAAAGGAGCAGATGCAAGAGAAGAAGAAGCACTAGTGCTGAAGCAGCAAAAGCGTCGAAGCATCATCGCAGAGGACCATATCAATACCATCATCTTCTTCTTTTCCTCCTCTTTCTTGCTCTTCCAGGTTCCGATTGCAGCTGCTTGATGTTCTCAGAACTGGGCAATGGGGCTAAGTTCCTCGTGGGATTTTACGGACCATATTGCAAATGGGACTCATTGGGCTTTCCAGGATTAATCTACAAAGAATAGAACCAACAGTCCTGCACCCAATATCGCAGACCGGTAACCGATGTTTCGGGGAGGCAAGTAAAGTGAACCCGCCCTGGTCCTTCCCGTAACTTTTTTTTTTTTTCTTGGCAGTCTTTTTTAGTTTGTAAATTAGTATTCTTTTTTTTTTTTTTTGTCAATACAGAGTGTATCCCAGTTTTGCCGGACTAATCACCCTGCACCTGAAGTACCCCGCCCCAGTTTGTAAATTAGTATTCCGGTCGAACAATTTCACAACTGAAATTGTGACTTCGCAATTCATGCACATGGTTCAATTGAATCGGCGATTTGTCACCTTAAACCATATGGAACGTTGTTTTGCTTTATACAAGAGCTCATAATATTATCTACTACTAACAAAAAAAAAACTTATAAATCTACCATAAAAACTAGGGATACTTGAAGAAACCTCCCATGAGATTTCTAACAATTTCACTAGCCTCCCCTAAATTTTACAAAATCAAGGTTAAGGTTTTGATAATAAAATTGGTCCAATTAGAAAAAGTAACATTAAAAAAATACTTTAAGGAGAGAGATGAAACTTTTGTTCCATTAATACCCCTTATGTATATATATAAGTTGTATCAGTAAAAGAATGAAAATAATTAAAAGTTAGAAACAATTAATAAACACATTTTACAACTCAAAAAGTTCACATTCAATAAATTTGATAATACAAATAAGCAACAAAACTATATTAATGATAATAGGATTCAGCAAAACAGACTAGTCATCTCTTTTGACATGATGTTTGCTACAATTCTTGTGATTTTGAAAAGAAAAATTTTTAAATTTTGCATTTCTTTTCCCTCCTTTCTCCTTTGCTAATATCTAACGATTAAACAATTAGAAACTCTTTAAGTTATGACAGTTGTAAGTAATTTCATGAAAGTAAAGGAAAAAAGAGGGAAAATAAAAACAAAATTCAAAATTCAAAATTTTTGCTATTTAAAATCACAAGAATCATAACAAACATCATATTAAAAGATAAGACTAGTCTGTTTTGCTAAATCTTGTGATCATTAGTATAGTTTTGTTGCTTATTTGTATTGTCTAATTTATTTGAATTTGAACTTTTTCAGTGGTAAAATGTGTTTATTAATTATTTCTAACTTTTAATTATTTTTATTCTTTTACTGGAATAAAAGTTTCATCTCTATTTTTAAAGTGCTTTTTTTAATTGAACTAATTTTGTTTTTAAAAGTTTAAAACCTTAACCTCAAGGGAGGTTTTTATAATTTTGCAAACTTCATGAGAGACTGGTAAAATTGTTAGAAATCTCAAGGGAGGTTTCTGAAATTATCCCTAAAAACTAACCTCGTTTGTTCCTATACCCTGATTCTATACACGGCCCATATCGTGTCAGGATACAAATTTACAAATTGCAAAGGTTAGCCACTCGCTCTCGCACAACTGCATTTCAATGCTGACGGCCAGAGCGATTCAGTTTTCTGAAGTTTCCAGTTTCTACTGTTCTTTATCATTATTGTCATTTTCAACGCTATTCATCCACGTACAGAGCTTGAATTGCTGGAAAAAATGTACAAGGGAGAAGAGTAGTAAGAAAAATCTAGGAGATTTCAATGTCAAATGGCTTCTTTACTCTTTGCTTTGATTTTTTCTTTCAAGCTGAACAAAAGCATGTACCATACACTAACTATGGCTGCTCAATTCTGTGAAGCTGTGCCTACAAATCGCAATCAAACTGCCGCCTTTACTGTCTCTAATCGTCAACCAACAAAAACCAAGCCAAGACCCCACCAGCGCTACCAAGTTAGATGACTCGCTTTTGAGTTCTCGCCGAGTACTAAACTATATGTCCGCCGGTAAGTGTTACACGGTTTTTACAAATTCTGGGAGTACAATTTCCCACTACTAACATTCCTAGACCGAGTGGTCCGACGAGCACTGACAGCTGGCTTGATTTATAACGTCTACATTGGTCAATCAGCACTTGGACCGTTTGAACTCCATATGCAAACTTCTACATCTAGCTGCCCAGATGAGCTGAGATAAGCAAAGGGAACTAGAAGAAAGTCCACAGGAGGTGAACCTTCCACCCTGCCTGGGTAATTTTGTGTGTATGACTTCAATCTCAGAGAGCTGCTTCCTCTTTCTGATGCAAGATCATAAAAATATCGTTCCTTAGATGAGCTTGGGCAAATGCAAGTTATCACGAGGTTATGCCCAATGCTTTCTGTCCCCTTATTCAGGAGAAAGAGAACACCATCTTTTTCTGCTTGCAAAACAAGGTGTGTCTCATTCTTGCCCAGTGAAACACAAAGAGGGCAGTCATACTGAAAGCGTCTTCCCGAGTCCCAGTGTTTGCTGCTGAAATGCAGTGACAACTGCCCAGAGGACCCAACAAAGTCACAGTTCTTAAGGGGGCAGGCACATGGAGTGTATATGCAGGCCTCTTCATGGTCATTCCGCGTTTCATAATCCACAAGTTCTGTGCATCCGTACTCCACATTTCGACATGCTCTTCTGACTGAATCAGCGACAGCAGTCTCTCCACTGACTGCAGTACCTTCTCTGTCATTAATTGGCACATTTTCCTGATGTAAATAAGAAGTCAATCAGAAACCATCTATACATTGCTGGAAATCATGTACCAGATATGTCAGTTGTCTAAAAATTAAACTAGAGGTAAGCAGAACTTGGGGCACTTGTCGAGAAAGTTAAAACAATAATGACAGCAATTCAGGTAAGTGCATAGACAATATAGCATAAAAGATAGCATCCATATCTGCAAATACATTAAGGAAGCCATGATTGTAACTCCCCAGTTATAGCTGCACTCCTCACATTACACCTGCGCCAATAAACTAGAGGGGAAAAAAATTTTGACATTCAGGTTCTGAAACTACAATAAGATTTGAGAGTTGAACAAAAAAAGATAAAATGGTCCTATATTGTCTGCTTCTTACAGTGTTTTCCATGTTTAACCAAAAGATAAAAAGTTATGCTCAAGAAGTCATACTGCTACAGTAGAGAAAGGTAGTCAATGCTGAGTGTTATGCTAAAAAGAAGTTCACTCAGGAATAAGACAAAATATGAAAGGTACACCAAGGTCGCAGAGAGTAGCCTATTCTTTCAAATTAATTATCAAATAAAGAGTTGTATGCATACATCTAGGAAAAGATGAGATAAGCACAGCCCAAAAGAATCATCCTAGACTCAGTAGTTCAACCGCAAGGGAAAAAATGGGAAATACCTGCCATTTTTTATGACACAAATATCATATAAGTTAATTTACCATTTGTAGAAATGGAAGAATACACTGGATGACTGGACACAATATAGTAAAAATAACATATCATCCAAATTCAGAGACAGATTTCATGAATACCAAGTGTCCATCCTGCTCCTGTGCAGGACAATGATCAAACTCAGGTGCCATAATCCTGGTCGGCATGATCTCAGCTTGGCGCTTGTACCCAAGTAGTCCCATCCCAAGTCCTCTCTCCTTACAGACCACCTGCATGTGAATAATAGACTTACAATCTGCAACATAATGTCGAGACTTATAACAATTAATCATTGTACCACCCCCTTCAACGAAAAAAATTAACACCAAATGTCATGTACCTCCCCTGCACCATAACCACCAAGCTCTTTTTCTTGCTTTTCTCTTTCACTAATTTCTTCCTCACCCCAAGAGTATAAGCAAGGAAAAGAAACAGGGGCCAGTTCATGCAATCCTCTAACAGCGACACATTCATAGTAGAAAAGCTGCAAAAGGCTAAATAGTTAAGCTAAGCACTTGAGTATAAGAGGCCAAAGTGATGTTCTATTTTAATTGTCAAACATCCTCACCTGGAGAAACAACAAACAACCACCAACGGCACGTTGCTTCCCTTGACGATAGCGAGCTACCTCACGAACTAGCCGGTCAAGCAAGAACTTTCCCCAATTATACTGATGGATAACTTCCACATTTGTCAAAAAGTGGAGGAATGTTGGGCTAACATCCAATCTTGCAGTAGGACACAAAAGAGTGCCTAATACATAAAGAACAAATGATCTTTTGAAATCCTCTCCCGCTTCTGGAGCTGCCAATCGCTCTTCTAAAAGGCGCACAGAAATCCCACGATTGGTGGCATTGTATTTTTGACGCAATTCCAAAATTACATCATCAGGACCTGAATTCACCACATCCTTTCCACTAGCTGCTAATCCCATGACAAGTTCCACATCTTGTGGAGTTAGAGGTATGCGCTCACCGCAAATCTCCAAGCTACGTCTCATGGTGTTAAATCTCTCCAATAGCCAAAGGCACAAACTACGCCTAAGAGTTCGGCATCTTAAACCAAGGATGCTACCAAATCCCATGCTTTTCACAGAAGCCTTCTGTTCTGGCGTTAGCCGCTGTATTACATTCAATAAACGACCAGGGGAGCACCTTGTAACCAGTTTGGTCTGCATGAAACGGACAAAATTTTTCTTCCTCAATTGAAAGAGTCCAAGAAAAGTGTACTTCACAAAAAAAAAAAGAGAGTAACCTGCCGTCTTGGTTTAGGAGCCCGGGCAGGACTTGCACTCAAATACTTATCCCACACTTCACGGGCACGAGTAGTGTATTTTTCTTTTTCTTCGGGGCTCATCAGCTTCCAGGCATCTGAGGCAGCTTTTGTGGCCTGAAATGAGCCACACATCATGAATTAACATAACATTCCTAATTTAAATAAAGAAAACTATGACGACATAATATAGCCAGATTCTCACTGTTTTCAGACCCGACGATCCAGGATGTGAAGCACTATACTCCTTAATAAATTCGCGGCTAACAAGTTCCATGTAAATGTTAGTACACCAGTAGAAACAATATAAGGAGACAATGAAGCATTGAAGGCCAAAGTTGTGAAAACTTTACCTAAAATGCACCCAAGAGCAGGCAGGGCGGGGCGTGCTAACTTGCCTCTTCTTCTTCTTTTTCCTAGTCCCTTCAGAACCTCCATTCTCTGGTTCCTTTCTCTTTTCCATAAGAAGATCTGCTTCACTTGGTACCTTAGAGTTGTATTAGGATACAAAGCGTATCATTCATGAAGAACACCCACTAGTGCTTAAAAGAATAAAGTAAAGTAAAAGTACAACATGAAAACAATACTGTACTCCTCACAAGAAAATAAGTATTTGAAGAAGATGAAACAGAAGCTGTTGCCTAAAAGGCTAAAAATGTCAACTCAATGGCAATAAAATGCACTACAAAATTACGATCCCAATTCTAACCCAAAAAGAGCCCATGTATTGTATACATGTTTTTCCCAAACGTGTATTAAATCTTTGTGTATTGACGCCTAATCAAATTGTATGGGATTCAGAAGAAAAAGAAATCATTTTACCTACTAATAGTGGTCAAATTTGCGTATTACCCAACCATGCCCCTATTGCCACAGCTGTAGATATAGGTATTTTGAGAATACACCTTAATGGCCAATGGTTAACGATGGCTCTTATGGGTGGTTTTGCTAAAATAGGCAATAATGAAATCGTTGTTTTAGTAAATGATGCAGAGAAGGGTAATGACATTGATCCACAAGAAGCTCAGCAAACTCTTGAAATAGTGGAAGCTAATTTGAAAAAAGTTGAAGGAAAATTTATGACTTTCCAAAATATATAGATTCAATGTCACATTCAGTGAAGATTTATGATACGCGTATACCTTGGGACGGATGTAAAGCTAAACAAATTGCTTCAGCTCCAAGAACCGAAGACTGCGTTGGTCATAAAAGATGTGAATCCGCCTGCCCAACGGATTTCTTGAGTGTTCGAGTTTATTTATGGCATGAAACAACCTGCAGTATGGGTCTCACTTATTGATACGTTCGAGTATATTTTACTTGAATCCATTTGATTTCCAATAATTACATACCCGATTTGACCTATGGACGAATATGCAAGCATACGTTTCATGCTTGTTTGAGTAATAGTAATGAGATTTCCCAATATCATGCTAAGAATAGCTAGGATTTCCGGAAGAAGATGCCATCCATTTGATGAGAAATAAAAAGGAATATAAAAAATTCGAGTGGTTGAAGCTGAAGCAGCTACTTTCGAAGTAACAGAAAGAAAAGCATATAACCACCTAAAACATAGTCGAAAAATTGTCCAAATTTTTCAAAAACTAATACTGGAAACCAATCAGTGGCTATTAAAAGGGGCCATAGCTCCCTGACATTTTTCAACACTCAGAAACACATAAAGCTACAACCAGCATAAATTGTCATATCCCATATGAGAAGCAAATAACTACATTTCTGGGGGTTGCCGTGCATGATCTATCAGAAGAGCAACATAGATGAAACTAAGATGACAAAAAAAGTACAACCCAGCCAATTTCATGACTCTCTAAACAAAGCCTCCACAAAAGATCCCGATAAAAGCACAACAGAATTACTCCTTTGCAAATTTCTTACCAATGCAGGCATCACCTTGATATTCAAATTCACAAGATTAAGCAAGAAACAAAAACACATTACCGGGAAAAAGTACCCAGTGAAACACTCACAGGCACATAAGAAGCAGTGTGGGTGAATTCTAGGGGACTAGGAGCTTTGATCAGGTACATATATGCGACAAAATCCAAATTTCATTAACAAAAAATACGAACAACTCAAAAAAGAAATTCCATGGAAATCATACTACCCACCAAAGTGGTCATGAGTGCGGAGTTGGGGGTGAAATCAAGTGCAGCCGCGTAGCAGCAGACTCCTCCTCGGAAATAACAAAACAACAGATTCCGGAGTGGATTCAGACAGAAGCGTTGATATAATTATGGTGGGTTTCAGAAAGCTAGGTTTCATCGAACTCGACAAATGAAGATGGCCGTTGATGTCTAGGATGGTTGGTTCGCCCGGCGCTGGGTTCCTCTAATGGCCGTTTGGTAGTAACTAGCAAGTACCATCCACAGCCGCACTTTAGTTGGCCATTTTCAGTTGATGTGCTTTATAGGGTTGTACCTTTGGCTTTTATCTTTCCGTCCAGGCTCGTGAACAGGGAATGGGTCGCCCAACCCACCGGTTTGACCGGTTTGCTATTCCACACGTGTCAAGGAAGATGTACATTTCTTCTTCTTTTTTTGTTTTTTTTTTTTAATCCCCCCTTCTTCCTGCTGGGTGACAAGTAGATCAACTTTTAAAAGGCTTAGGCGCAGTTGGATATTTTATTCTCTTTAATCGAGTTTTATGGATTGGATGGCTAAATTGTTGCGGGTTAGTCTCTGACAAATATAAGAATGTTATTTTTTTTCCGGAGACAATAACAGTTGTACAACCTAATCTATTCTATACTAAAGAGAAGAGGACGGGATTTTTTGAATCAAATCACTTAAATGTAACATTTTGGTGAAAGGCAAAGTTTGAACCCTTACCACCCACCCCACCAAGCTAGGTGGTGGCCACCAGCCTTTGGTTATATACAAGAATGTTATACACCAGCAGCATTATTAGAGGTGGCTGCAATGCAAAATTGGCTTGCTTGCGCCATCCTGTCTATAAAAAGTTGATCATCCAAATTTTGAAGCTCCCATGCAAAGCATCTCATCCTGGGACAGTAACAGGGGATACCACCTAGACGGTCACAAATAAAATAAAGGGAAGGTGTAATTTCCATATTGCCGAGTACATTGGCTCATTTATTTACCGCCCGGGAAGCAGAATTACCGGGTTGATGGTCCAAAGGTATATTTTGCTTTTTCTTGCAGAGAGTAAAATATTGTCCAACGGTGAATATATGAAAAGGTCAACGATGAAATATTATCCAACCGTTTGGACTTTGGAGGATAGGTCAACGATGAAAATGAATGGAAATGCTCATAAAAAAAAAATATGAAAAGGATAAACAGCCTGCCTACCACTCCAATGCACAAAAACTACACACAGTGTGTTAAATATAGCACAGCGTCACAATGGAATTTCTTTTCTTTTCCTAAACTAAAAAGTTTTAACAAAGTGAAGTCAATCAGCCCTGGTAAACAAGAACTTCATGTTATTACCACTTGAGCGAGAACAAGATTGTTCGGCCCGTATGCATACGTCCAACTCAAGCTGTCCACAATTACTGGTATAATAATAGCATGGAACCAGAAGAAACTTCTTTGCAGGAGCGCTATCAACCCACTTTCGGATGCTTTCTACGGAAGATTGCAGTCTAATAGATGTATCCCCGTCTCTTACAGTAAGATCATAAGAAAACCGAGTACCTGATCCTAACGGTGCAATACCAACAATATTTATTGCACTTCCATGTCGTTCGTTGAAGTGATTCAGGATAAAGATAATATTTCCATCACCCTCTCGAAGAATTATAGACCTTTGGCTTTTCTCCAAAGAAATAGAGAAGGGCTTGCCCAAAAGGAAAGTGTTGCCAGAAGCTGGATGTCTTAGCTTAAAATGTGAATATAATTGCCAGGCAGAGCCAACAAAGTTGCAGTCAAGAAGAGGACATGAACAAGGTGCAAGAATGCATGTATTCTCATGTTCATGCTTATTACAGTATCTCACCATCTGCGTGCACCCATACTTAATGTTTCTGCATGACACTTTCACCGATTCAAGCACTTTCTCAATGGCTCGGCATCGGTTGTACCCGATTGGCCAAGAGCAGGATGGACACTTGTTACGAATCTTTAAGCAGCAAGAGCTGCATGCTATATGCCCATTCTCGCACTGAATTGTAGTCCAGAAAAATAAAACGCATTAGAGTCCTTGTCCTTGTACATGCCTGCTAACAATTTAATAATTTGCATATATGTAGACTATATACATAAAAACTGGGGCTGCAGGACATGACAAGAATGACGAGTGAGATGCATAATCATTACACAATTACACAGAGATTAAATCTGCAGCTTCAGCCAGGTAGTAAGACTACTTTATGCATAATTCTTTTTGTTTGTAATACAAAATGTGAGTAGAAGTTTCTCGAAGGACCTTGGGTAAATACACAACAACAATTAACCATACTGACAACCTTAGATGTTATCTTACTATATGAAAAAAGAATGCATCCCATATTGCAGCTTAAGAATGAGACTTGACGCATGCAAACATTTTTAATTGAAAGATAATTTGCAGGCATTACGAGTCCACGAGAACAAAAATTATTACCCAAAAGATCCATAATGAAGTTCTACTAGTCACTACAAATGTCAAAACAAACCCAATCAATGCATTTGTAAATGCTTTTCTCAAGAGGAATCGGGAGAAATGAATTTTATCAGCTAGCTGGCAAAAGGTTTTTGACGTATTTTTAGTAAATCATAAAGAAAATTCAAATAATGATGCAAACAGACAGAAGCTAAACCAATCACATGAAGCTGAAATATTTCCTTGCAGGCTGGCGCACATGATGTAGTCATTGACAAAGCAATATAGCAGTTGCAATTCATCCACTTGGGAAGGGAATACAAAGTAGGAAGAAGATCTAGGGAACCTAAGAACATAAACCCACAATCTAGAGACCACGTCCACACTCCTTTTACAATCTAAAGTAACAAATACAGACAAATGATTGAATTCTCACTCCTTGTCCACAATACGACAAAATATAACAATGCTGCGTTCGAAAATCGACGTCATAACTAAATCAACAAACAACAAAACTACCTAAAGCACGCAAGTCAACATTTTGACCACCAATATCATCTTTGCCCCCACATAGACCTCCACTGCAACAGCCACTAAACATTATAAACAGCAATCCCACCTGATTGGGACTTAATCATAAGCAGATGCGACAATTCTGTCCAACTGGCCATAATAATTGAAGCACTTCAACCAATTTTTACCATGACTAACATAGTGCTACCAGCTAGCATCACAATAGCCAAAAACATCTAAATTATACACTGTAGACAATATTACGGTGACCATTGCACCAGGGACATAACTAAAGCAACAGAATCAAAACACCTCAAGATCACCAACAGAAAATATCCACTGCCACCCACAAATTTAATTCCATTTCGAATGCTGTCAAGGTAAGAAACTCAACGTCCACAAGAATGTGAACATGAAACAAAGTACATGACCTTTTATGCATTCAATTGTTATGGCAAATAGGGAAACTCAGAAGATCATTGGCCACTATCCTGGCCAAGTAGAAAAATCATCAAAGAATTCTTACATATTCAGTGTCCATAATACATACATCCAGGAAGCAAACTTGATACAGAACCTAGTAAAAGATTGGAAGTGGGATTTTGAGTTTCTTTTGTTTCTTCCTGAGTTTTCTGCAAGCAACAGCCTCTCTATGCAAAACTAGATTCACAAAGAAACAAGGAGAGGATATACTCATATACAAGTTATGACTTTTTTTGGTCCAAACTAAAAACTTTATTACAATTGTAGTCGTTACCCATGGCATTCAATCAACACCATTCCAATGAGTTCGACCCGAAACCACCCTCCAGATAACATACAGAGCCTACAATTCTATACAAAGCCCAAGGACCAATAGAACAGAAGTGACACAATGAACACATTCAGCTCGAAATTGCTATTCCAACTCCAACCACTAAGTACGCCAAGAGTTAAAGTTCTCCTATCCACTCGTAATGTCAACTTCAAATACATTTAAATTGTAATACATCAACAGCAGCACACTTTCGCAACTACTGGTACCTCAAAGTTGATCCATTATCTTAGCTAGCCTTAATTGGGCTTTGATCAAAATGCATCAGCAACAACGATACTAAGCATGCCTGATAATTCGAAGTAATTCAATTTTTGAATCAGGGAAAAAATGGAAAATTACCTGAAAAACAGGGATGCTGAGGGGCTCAATGCAGATAGGGCAATCCAATACATCCGGGTCAGTAAGGGTAACGGAAATGGGCCCATCTCTATTGCCGTCCCCGTTTACCTCAGGCTGCGGCTGCAGAATCCGGTCGTCTTCCTCCTGATCATCGTCGTCATCTTCGTCATCGTCTTCTTCTTCTTGGTCTTCGTACTCAGACCCTTCTTCCTCGGCTTCAATTTCATATTCAGACTCTTCTTCTTCCTCTTCCTCTGCGTCCCCTTCCACTACTTGAACTAAATCATTTGTTTGTATAGGTGCATCCACCGCTGGCTGGGATGGTTGGGGTTGCGGCGAGACTGTGAGTTTTTGCCTCTTAGGGGTGGGTCTGGAGCTGCTGCTGCTGGGATCGGACCTTTCTCGTTCATCCGCTTCATCTCCCAGAGAGAATCTCGCCATCTTCCCTTCTTTAACCTTACCAATCTTCTGTCTCGCCGGTCACTGGTTGAGGGGATGAGCGTGAAATTGAAATTATCGTTCTGTTTTTTCATTGGCTTTTTGAGGGAATTTCGATTTTGGTCCCTTGACACTTCATTTTTTACATAGTCAAGCATCCAACACACAAGTACCCATTTGTGCCCAAAAACATTTCAAAATTCGAGATTGATTTAGCTAACTTGTAATTTATCTGGTTATTACAAGTTTACATCTCAAGTGAAAATAGGCTTATGTCAAGCCAATTTGATATCAACTTTATATTTATTTATGTTTAACCCCTAATTTATATCTCGTTACCTTATAAATGAAATATAATACTTAAACAATAGAAATCATACAAAGTTCAAATATATAATTTATTCAAACAGAAAAATTCCCGTCATATTAAATTATAGACGTGCAAACAAGTACATGTTGCTTTAGGACCAAGTGCTATGATGAATTTATATAATTATTATATTAAATTATGTATTATGCATCATATCTTTTGTATTTTCATATGACTCGTCTCTCGCTTTAAGATAATTAAATGATAACCATAAACTTAGTGTGTGGATAGACATATGATATGAGGGCCAATATGATTCGTTCCACTATTATAATTACTATTATAATTAGGAGTTTAATTCTTATTATTTTTTTATAGGTATATAATTGTGTATTAGAACTTGTCAAATCTTATATAAAAATCTACAGAAGAAATAAAAATCAACGTT